AACAAACTGAGGGCAGGTGGGTGGGGAGACAAGTTAAATAGGTGATGAGAATTAAGCTGTGCTCTTATTTTATTGAGAACTGGGTGTTGTATAGAAGTGTTGAATCATTATACTGTACATCCAAAACTAATATTACACTGTATGTTAGCTAGCTGGAATTTAAATTAAAACTTAAAAAAAAGAAAAGCCTTTCCATTACTAGTACATCATACATATATGCATGCATGTGTGTGCGTACACATTCACATACAGCCCAAATTATTTTTAAGAAATATCTGAAGTCAGCTTCAGGAATTTCCTCAGTACTCTGCTATGTAGAAATATAATGGCCTCCCTTCTATAAAGCATTCATCCTTCTTAGACTCCTCATTTTCATGGGGAAGTGTTAGCTGAAATAGGAAGCCCAGGATATACCTGGTAATATAGAGTCTCTGTACTATGGCTACTTTCTTGGTTAGCTCGGGCTGCCATAACAATATACCATAGGCTGGACAGCTTAAACAGAAATGTATTGCTCACTATTCTGGAGGCAGGAAGCCCAAGATCAAGGTGTGGTCAGATTTAATTTCTTCTGAGGCCTCTTTTCTTGGCTGGTAGTCAATTTCTCATGATATACTCACATAGTCTTTTCCCTGTGCCTATGCATTCTTGGTATCTCTTCCTCTTCCTCTAAGGACACCAGTAATTTAACCTTAATTATTGTTTCCTTAAGGCTATATCCCCAAATACAGTAGCATTGAGGACTAGAGTTTTAACCTATGAATTTGGGAGGACACAACTGAATCCCTAATGGAGCGTAATCTGAAACTGACTGCCACTAAACACTTATGAAAAGAAAATCCCTTCTATTCCTCTTGGAACCCAATGAAATAAAATTAGAGAAATATATAAAAAGAAAATTCTATAATATCAACAGGCATGAGGGGATCCCTGGGTGGCGCAGCGGTTTGGCGCCTGCCTGTGGCTCAGGGCGCGATCCTGGAGACCCAGGATAGAATCCCACATCGGGCTCCCGGTGCATGGAGCCTGCTTCTCCCTCTGCCTGTGTCTCTGCCTCTCTCTCTCTCTCTCTCTGTGACTATCATAAATAAATAAATTAAAAAAAAAACAGGCATGAGAAGTAGCAACAGCATATGAAAAGTTTCAATGAATTGGTGGACCATGTAGAGTGGTTAGAGTTGTATTGTCAGATGAAACATGGCCAAGGGAACAAGCATCAGGAATATACTCCCAGGGTGCTGCAAGAGACATAAGAACCAATCTGCCCTGGGGACATAGATGATTCTCTGGTCTCTGCATCAGACCCAAGAGAGGTCAGGAATAAGAAGTGGGACCAAAAAAATAGGGAATTTATTAAAGGTCTGTGTATACAATGGATATACCCTCTGTGCCCAGCTTGTCCAACAACTCAAAATATTCAGGAAATTTAGCATTTAACTCTGGGGGAAAAAATCCAGAGAACTATTTACTAAAGATATGAATGCTCTTGGAGACTTTTAAAGTTTCTAGTGCGGGGGTGGCTGTCTACAGTAAATACCTGATCTAATTTTCGGATTTGCAGATCTGTAAGCCTTCTCTTAAATATAAATGTCAATCATGGATCACTAGGAATTGGAGAAAACCCAGTAACATAAAAGTCAACTTGAAGAAAGAGAAAACAAATATTTTTTAAAAAAATTTTAGTATATTCAAGAAGAACTGAGATATTATAATCACAAAAAAAAAGAAAGAAAGAACAATATGCCATGAAAGAGAATAATCACAAAGCAAAGAAAGAGCTCTTGGGAAAGAGAATCTTGAATGTTAATAGTAAAAGCAGAGTTTGTAGAACACAGCAAATGAGTAAAGAAATCTTCTCAAAAGTATAGAATGAGAGAAAAGAGACACAAAGGAAAAATCTAACAGAGAAGGTTGGAAGACAAAGTTGGGTGAATATTCCAGGAAGTGGAGCAAGGAAGATGAGGAAATACAAGAAAAATAAAGGATCATTTCTTTTCATTCAACATTTGAAGAATAAGTCCAGAAGAAGGACAGGGTCTGAACAAGAGTAACTGAACAGGACCATGGAATGAGTGGGGAAAACATCTCTTCACATTGTTGTGAAATTTAGATCATCAGAGATAAGGAGAAATCCCTAAAAGCTGCCAAAGACAATAAACAGTTCCCTACAAAAATTCAAGAATCAGACTGATGCCAGACTTCTTATCTAGAACACCGGATGTAGGAGAGCCATAGAGTAAGGCTTTCAAAATTTGACATAAAATAAGACTTAACCTAAAATTCTGTACCTTACCCAATTACCAATTACACATGGGGGCAGGATAAAGACATATTAGACATGCAAGAACTTAAATGATCTTTATATTCTTTCATAGGAAGTTACTTAAAGATTGAAGAAAATACGAGAAAGACAAAAACAGGGTTTGGTTTACCATTGAGAGGTTGAGCAGTGAAGATATATCCCAAGGTGACATAGTTCAGTAGCTCCTGAGAACACATGGGCTAGATGGGAGTAGAAGACAAAAGGCATGGGGAGGACTTACCATGGAGGAAGGGGATCCCGCCCCCAGCAAAAGGACCCCAGACAACGAGTAGCATAACTGTAAGAACATGAAAATATAAGAATATTCAACACTACTATTTGGTGAACAAAAATAAAGCTTATTAGAAACTCTAGGCAAAACCAAAAGCTGTGGGAGAAAATCATGGCCTGTTTTGGCAAATTCAAATGTATGATTTTAAGTGCTTTGAAGAGTGAATTCCAGGGGACTGTGATGTTAAGGACATTTTCCTTCAAGTGGCACATGGATGTGTCCCACCAGGAAGGATATATAATACTAGCATGCCACTTGGTCTAAAAGTGAATAATAATTTAATAACCATAGTAAATTTAATTGTTTATTGATTTTTAATTAAGTCAGCATATGAAAAAAAAGTGAGGTTACAGAACATAATACAATGGTAGCAACCTTTAGAAAAATTTACAACATGGATGTAAAAGAGTGATTTACAAAAGAAGGAGGTAGAAAGGGAGGAGGTTTAGGGAGGACAGTATTTCCATCTTATATAGAGGGGACCTACATAATGATAGACTATGAAATAGTGTACACTTCTAGAAGAGCTGAAAGTAGCTATCGGTGATCTTAAAAATAAAACTGTTATTCTACTGGTAAAAATGGGTTTGGTTGGAAATAGCAGAGATTTAGAATTCAATACAAGCAAGCTACTGCAAAAACTAGAGGCAGGTCCACTGAACAAAAGAGAGGAACGTTCTTTTATAGAGGAAAGAGAGATTTGGTAGGAGGTGTTAGAAACAAAAAGTCCATTGGAGTAAACAGGGAGTTAGAAGTATAGCAGCTTCTCATTGGCTGAGTTGTGAGGTCTCTCACTAGCTGGGCTGTTAGGGAAGAAGGGAGGAAAGGAGGTAAGCTTTTCTTCCTCCTGCCAGAATAGTAAAGTAGTACCCACCTGCAGGTTCCCTCACTTTCTGTTGAATTTGCAATTGACCGTGAGTTGTAGGGCATGAGAGTCCCCCTGTTGAACCTCCTGATTTCATTTTCTTGGTGGTTTCCCTTTATTCATTTTCATGTCATCATCAACCAGCAAAGAATAATGGAGCTTAGTTAAATCCAAAATTAAAATTTAGGGGTACCTGGGTGGCTCTGTGGTTGAGTGTCTTTTGGCTCAGGTCATGATTCCCATGATTCCCATCCTGGGACCCACATCGGGCTGCCTACAGGGAGCCTGCTTCTCCCTCTGCCTAGGTCGCTGCCTCTCTTTCTGTGTCTCTCATGAATAAATAAACAAAATCTTTCAAAAAAAAAGTTGTGAACTTAGCAATGAGTATTTTTAAAATTGGTTTTTACAAGTGACACCTTTTTCTGATGATCAACACTTACTTGCTTGTTGCTTCAAGAAGGAAATAAAATCGTGTTGCCATTTAACTATTAACAATTAGAGAGGAATTCTCATTCAGTCTCTAGTCCCGTCCAACAGTTTTTGAATGTTACGAGATTTATAGGTTTCTGATGAGGTATCTGGGTTGTTTTTTTTTAAATTAAAAAATACCACAGGCTATACATCAAAGAATGTGCCCTGAAGGGCTGTGGGAGACATGCAAGACCTTAGGATTTGGCGTCCTGGGTTCAGGTTTATCCCACAATGAGCAGCAGCAACAACCTGAACCAAACTCTACTTCTTCAGGTCCCCATTTTCTCATCTGTATATAGACAATTAATAATTAATTATGATAATCAATTATAATAGTAATATCTCTTTCACCTACTTTTCTGGTTTGTTATGGTCAGATGAGAAAATGTAAGTTAAAATAACTTTAACCCCTAAGTAGCTGGCTCACATGTTTTTCTTAATTCCAAAAATGCTATTTCCATAGATATTCTTAAATTCCTGCTTTTGCAATTGTGTGGAAGACTCATTTTCAAGTTATACATGAAAAGGCATCTCATTAATTAATAGTTGAGTCTTATTTTTGACCTAAGCATAAGTTACTCAGCATGATTATCTGTTTTATTAACCATTTCTCCTCTGTCAGTGTCCAAAAAATCAAACCTACTTCTGAAAACATTATTTTTCAGCAGTGAGAGTATAACTAAAATTATAACATATGCTCCAAAATAAAAACCAAAATTTTATTTCACTTTATTTTATTTTTAAGAGGGGTGTAGGGGCAGAGGAAACGAGAAAATCTTGAGCAAGCTCCATGGTAAGAGCAGAACCAGACCTGGGGCTCGGTCTCAACCCTGAGTCCATGACCTGAGCTGAAATCAAGAATCCAATGCTTAACTGACTGTGCCACCCAGGAGCCCCCAAAAAACCCACAATTTTTGGTAAAATTTTTCTAATAAGTATTTAGCTTCCCAATATTTTGACTTTGGAAAGGAAAACACTTTATATTGATATACACCTATGCTTGTTTTTTGCTTTTTAAAAATTTTTCAGTTTTTCACATGGTTTTCTGGATAAATCATAATACAGGCCAATTTGTCGTTATAATCCTTATATGTTTTATTTCATTTAAATATTACTACGTAAATTTTACATAATAACTTGTATGAAATGGCAAAGGGCATGATAGAACAGGTAGGAAAATTCAGAAAGGCACAGAAACTGCACACTTAAAAGTGATTAAGATGGTAAATTTTAGGGGCAGCCCTGGTGGTGCAGCGGTTTAGCGCCGCCTGCAGCCTGGAGTCCCGGGATCGAGTCCCACGTCGGGCTCCCGGCATGGAGCCTGCTTCTCTCTCTGCTTCTCTTTCTGCCTGTGTCTCTGCCTCTATAAATAAATAAATAAATAAATAAATAAATAAATAAATAAATAAATAAATAAATAAATAAATAAATAAATAAATAAATAAATAAATAAAGAGTCTGTTAAGATGGTAAATTTTAGGACACCTGAGTGGCTCAGCAGTCGAGAGTCTGCCTTTGGCTCAGGTCATGATTCTAGGATCCTGGGATCAAGTTCTGCATTAGGCTCCCTGTGAGAAGCCTGCTTCTCCCTCTGCCTATGTCTGTCTCTGCCTCTCCCTCTGTGTCTCTCATGTGTAAATAAATAAAATCATTTCTAAAAAATTATAAACTTTATATTATTATGTGTTCTTGTAACTATAAAAGACAAAAAATAAATAAAAAGAAAGGCACAGACATTTAGATCAGAAGGCAAATGAGTAATTGTGAATTCAAGTTACTGAGCTCTTTCTACTAACATTTCATGAAGTAATCAAATCTTAAAAGAAGCTAATAATTAATAACATTGCCCTATTCTATTTTTTATTGCCCTATTCTAATATGCCTGTTCTCAAAATGGCATGAATATGAGCAAAAGTATAACACGAAACTAGAGCCCTTTCTCCACCTTCACACCGTACCAAAAATGTAATCTAATTCAGCAAACAATAGGAATATGAAATGCGTCCTTTCGAATGTTATAGTCATAGGAGAAAGAATGACCATTTGCTAGAATGCTTGTAACCTGCCCCCCAGAAATTCTCCTGTCCTCTTTTCTAATGGTCACAACTTGAATATTCCTGATTTGTAAGGCTGAACATCATTCTGTTCCATTCTTTTGCAAATATAACTGCTGTGATTTTGTTTTGATGATTAGGTCTTAGCAATCACGGTGAGATTGAATGGATGCAGATGCTACAGATGGATGTGTCATAATAGCACTAAACCACCAGAAGGAGCTCTAAAACAGACTACTGGGAAGAATTAGACCTGCTGGCAAAGAGGGGGAAATAATATATTGTCTACAGATGGAGAGTTTAAACCACATTAAAACTTAATAAAGGATTACAAAGTGGCTGAGGGAATTATAACACTAAAAAGTCTTCAGAAGACAGAATACAAGTGCCTGAAGGCATTAGGTTGGTACTGTATTTTTGTGGGTTTTTTTTTTTTTTGAGAGAGAGAGAGAAAAAATACACAAGAAATATTGATTCAATTAGTGAAGCCAAACAAGCCATGAGATTGTAAATGAGAGTAAATTTACACAGGGTTTCTCAACCCCTCCATCTGCCAGAATATTCTTTTCAGTGGAGTCGGCCTTATGCACAAGCTTTGGAGGATGTTTCAAAAGATGACAAAAGTTTCCCTTCACCAGACATCTCTCTTTTGAGTAATCCCTAGGGCCTAAATTCTTAAGATCACATCTTACCCTAAGACCTTTAAGCTTTGTTACGTTTTATCAAATATCACATGTTTAACTGCGCTAAGGCTTCACCTCAACTTGGATGGCTAATACTGATTATTGGCGGGAGTTGGCTTAAACACCATAATCTTTTACTTCACATCATCCTATGGTAGGAAGGTACAGCTTTGAGGGTTAACCTGATGATGCTTTTTAATTATGGGGAGAAGATCAGGTGTGCAAAGCACTGTCTGTAGCCAGCAGAATATTGTGTCCGGAAATCTGCCAAGACCAACCGTGGGCACCTGTGGAAAAAAAAATTGAAAAGGCATAAAGATAGTAACAAATTCCCTATGTTGGCTTCCTAGGGCTGTCATAACAAAGCATCAGGGACTAGGAGGCTTACCCAACAGAAATTTCTACTCTCACAATTCTGGAGACTGCGAATTCAAGGTCAAGGTGTGCGCAGAGTTGGTTTCTTCCAAGTCGTCTCTCCGATGCTTGCTGGTGGCCATCTTCTCCCTGTGTCTGCTCACGTATACACCTGTAACCAAATGTCCTCTTCTTATAAGGACACCAGTCCTGTTGGATTAGGGCTCACCCTGATGACCTCATCATAACTAAATTATCCCTGGACAGACCCTATCTCCAAATATGGTCATATTTTGCAGTAATGAGGGTTAAACTCTCAACATATGAATTTGAGGGAGGGACACAACTTAGTCCATAGCACTCTCCTTTGCCATGTTGCCCATCCTTCTTAAAACTCCACAGCACAGGGGCACTGCAGGGCTCAGTTTGTTAAGTGTCCAACTCTTGATTTCAGCTCAGGGTCATGGGTTCAAGCCTGGCATTGGGCTACTAAAAACCTACTTGAAAACAAAAATACTCCACAGTGTTGTGGGCTGGCTATGAAGCAGTCGAGAGGGCCCGAGTTTTAGAGTTAGGCCTGTATTAAAATGCCAGCTTCACCACTTCCTAGCAGTGTGACCTGGGGAAATTATTTGGCCTCTTAGCCTTAGTTTATCCATTTGTAAAATAAAACTAGAAATACCTTCCTCACCAGGCAGTGACAAAAGCAGGAATAGATAATTAGTGTGAAAACATGGACACAGCCTCTCTCACATATGGCAGAAGCCTTGTCAGTCTTTCACTGCCCTAGAGTGATGACCCCCAAATTCTCTGCAGAGCTGATGAGGTCCCATGTGAGCTGATTCCCTTTTTTTGTCAGTAGAGTCTTTCTGAGGTAAGAAGGACCTGAGCCACATAAAATTTTCCATGCCCCTGACAGAAAAGAACCACCCCTTCCAAATGATAAAAACAAGGAATCAAAAACCATGGTGTGTTTTTCAATATTTATTTAATAAACCAATTTAAACATTCACAAACAGTATGATTGTCTACACAACCTCAGCTGGAGATGAGACCAAGAGTCTAAAGTTGAGGCTGTTAGGAACTTTTACCACATGTCTAGGCACCTCATAGAGTCTATGCTCCTGCAGCTCTGGCTTCTTTCACTTCATTTTGCCAGGCCCCTGTCTGCTCCAGGCACTTTCCTCACCACCCTGGACAACTGATCTCTCAGATAGAGACTAACAGCATTTCTCGAAGAAAGGCTTCCTCTATGCCTCCAGCCATTTCCTCAGTATGTCAGTGTGTCACACACCCAATTTCAGTCAGGCCACCTGATCTCACAGGGCCTCTGTACTTAATCTTTTTAGCAGTGACCACAATTGTAATGAAATAATTCACTCCATAATTGGTTGTTTAATCTCTGTCTCTCCTGCTAGGATGTAGGCGGCCTGAAAATTGGAACTTCATCTGTCTTGTTCAACTGTCTATCCCCAGAGTCCAAGGAAGGGCCTTGCCTACATATAATCCCACTTACTATACCTGAGTCAATCAATAGGTGAATTTAAGGTGAATGTAGCTTTCAGGACCCGATCCTCTCTTTACAGACTATTTTGACATTCTCGATTACAAATGCCAAGTCAAATCTACCTCCATGTATTCAATAACCATTCCTGTAAAACTCCAAGGTTTGAAATATCCTCATTGTATATATTTATCCCTGTATATCATTTCCTGTAAGAACAGGCAGTTGTGATGAATGGAGAGAGGGATAAAATATCATTGATAATACAGATGGTGTGACTTGGTAGTCATTAATGATAAAGCCTTCTGGAAATTATACCATTCAAAGAATGTCATCTTTTAGCATCTGTTGGATGATGAAATCTGTTGATGAAAACATGAAAGCATGCTCCTGGTACTGTATGCTTTTGATGGCTTCATTTTCACAGTGATAAACTTGAGCATCAGGAAGATATATATCTATATGTCCATTTTTTATGGAAAAAATGTATTTATCAATAAAGAAACAAACACCAAGGTGCTATAAACACAATTGCCAAAGAACGGTGTTTTACTCTGGTTCTCAGAGTAGGCAGGACATGTCCTCCACATTCTTCTTTAAACCCAGCTAGCTCACACCGATGAATGGGGAGCCCCATAGGGCCCAAATAAGTGGCCACCCCCATTCTGCACCAGTTGCTGTGTGAATGAGTATCAATTAAAGACCATAACAGAAGCAGACAATTCCACAGTTTTCATCTGTTTTCAAATTTAATTCTACTAAAATTTGAAGTCTAGAAACTGGGGTATAGCAACATAAGAAGAAAGAGATAATCTGTCCCCTTTGGCAGAATTATCTCCAGCTAGCCTAAAGAAAGTAGGAAAGAAGGAAGGATTCAAGATGTGGCCAACTCATCCATTCAACAAATGTTGACTCTGAGGCCACTACATGGTGGGCATTATCGTAGGCATGGCAGTGAAAACCTGTCCCTACTGCTGCAGACCACATGCCACAGCGGAAGGGTCCAGAGAGTCCCTGGAGCCATCACAGAGCTGTTTCCTAGCTGCCACTCAGGAGAATCAGGTCACCCCAACTCGCTCCTTTCCTCTCCCTACATCATGGGTAGCTCAGAAGTTTGCTATGGTAGCAATCTTTTCCTGTTCTCAGTAGAATCCTTCTCTCCTTCCCCCAAACTTGCACACTATCCTGTTTCTTATCTTATTTGGTGGTATCACATTCTGTAGTGATTTTGTCTCCTTGCTAGCTAGTCTTCATTGCCCCTGAGTTGCCTTTGTGAAACATAGGATTGGTCATTCTCTTGACTCTCTTTTCCAATCCAAAGTTATGTCCTGGCTCTCTGCAGCCAACTGCTCAAAACCTAAACTCATCATCATCCCTGCATTGACGTCCACAAGCTCCTCCTGCCTCCTTGTAAAGGCCTTTACACCTCCCGTATTCTTGTTATCCACTCTGAACTTCCTGCTGTTGCCCAAACCAGCCACAATCTTTCATGGTCTTTCTTTTTAATCTCCCTCTGTGTTGCCTTTGACTGAGATGCCTTCCTCTCCTTCCTGAGCTCCAGAAACCCCTTCTGAAACTAGTTAGCAGCAGGAAATTGCTGCTGTTTCTGGGGCCCTGCTTCTGGTTTGCCCATACTTTCTAATGCTGGTTCTGTTTAATTGTGTGCATGTCTATTTGCTCTGCTAGGTTATAAGTTCTTTGAAAATGAGCCACCATTTTATTCTTGTCTCTGCATTACCAATACCTGGCTTTAGGGTTTAGAACACTGTGTGATGCAAAGTAAACTATAGTGATTCCTGAATTAAGTCCTTTGTGCTTACGGATACGCGAGATGTTGGAATTGACAGAGGCCTATGGTATTTATGCCAACACTCTCTTGCACACAGCTAAGGGTAGTGCTTTGCGGGCAGCATTAAATTACAAATGCATGTTTAAATTACAGGTTTTGTGTCATAATATGTACATGGACGCTTTTTCACATTGAGGTTCTTTGGTTGCAAGCCAGAAACTGGATGTTTGGGCTCTGGTTACCTTAAATAAAAAAGAAAATTTTCTGGAAAGGAATTAGGAATACTGAGAATCAATGGGCAGGCTGAAGCAGCAGGGTTTTTATGGGCAGGAACCCAGGTAGCTCCAGGGACTAGTGAACAAGAGCAGCAGGAACGAAGCGGCAACAAGACCAGTTTTTCCTAGTTAGCTCCACTAGAATTAATCATTCGGTCATCCTTAGTCTGTATTCTACTTGGGATTTAAATTTTTTTTTATTTATTTATGATAGTCACAGAGAGAGAAAGAGAGAGAGGCAGAGACATAGGCAGAAGGAGAAGCAGGCTCCATGCACTGGGAGCCCGATGTGGGATTTGATCCCGGGTCTCCAGGATCGTGCCCTGGGCCAAAGGCAGGCGCCAAACCGCTGCACCACCCAGGGATCCCTCTACTTGGGATTTAAATTTCACGGAAGGTGCATGAAGTTTGGGTTCTGTCCCCAGCCATTAGCTGGGTGAGGAAAGAACATTTGACTAACAAAAAATTCCACCAGACTAAATTTAACAGTAGATAAAATAATCCTCAAAAGGAAATTAAACATGGTCTATGAGAAAGAGGCAGGGGATGCAGGTTGCCAAAAAGCCATCACCCGTGTTCTACACTCAGGTCCTAAAATTAACTTTAGTGCAAACACTGTAACAATTGTTGCAATATGATCATTATAAAACCATATTATTTTTCATCTATAGCCTTTCACTAAGAAAAAATAGACCCTTAATCCAATTCTAAAACAGCTTTTGTATCTCTTCTAAACTACTAACTTATGAGACCCTGGATATGCTGTGATAGGATGTAAGTGAGTGAGTAGTAAAAAAAATGGTCGATGGTATGGCAACATCAGTAAGTTCTAGTCATCATCATCCATCTGGATCTCCATCAAACCGTTATCGTTGTGGCAGAACCATGTGTCGCCACGGAATATTTCAACAGCCCTCCCGGGCCAGTGCTATGTTACAGCCCATTTAGCTCCTGTGTGGAACTAGTGGAGTCTCTTTGTTGAGGGAGTCATCGGCTCAATTAACTGGCATTAAAGTACTGTACCTCTAGAATCATAATCAGGAGAACATGATCATTTACTACCAAAAATATCTGAAACTTTTTCCCTGCTGGGTAGAGAGAGAAAATTAAATTACATGAAATAAACTCCCAGTTCTCCATATGTGAACTCTCCATGTTACAGATTGCCAGTTCAAGAGCTGCGATTTGTCACCATGGCCGTGACCATGACCCAGCTGGGCTCTGACATGCAGCTGAGAAATTATATGGATCAGAAATATGTTTTCTCTGGTTATCTGCAATGACAGTATACTTTATAAAAACTAAAGGAATAAAGAATGTTTCTTAAACTTGAGGTTTTATTTAAACTGACAGATTACTCTTCTTGTTTCAAATATCCCTTCAACCCTGTTAGAAATTCCAGTCTTGCTATAATCTATAATCCGGTTTATCACCAAGTTTCTCAGTGGCTATTTTCTCGTTAAGTGATTCCCAAAGTCTTAACCTTCTTATGTCAATTTCCATTCATTCCCCCCCCCCGTTCTTTTTAATAAAGTACCATTTTCTCTGATAGCAAAGGACCAAAATGTCTTTCATACTTTGCATTTTTTATTACTTATAGGGTA